CCGTCCAAGTCTGGTGTCATTACAGCAGATGTGGTTTCAGCACAGTGTGTGGGGCTGGGAATTGCACTGGCAGCTCACTGCTGTGTGCCTCTGTGCTGGGGACCCTCTCTCTGGAATCACCATGCTGTCTGAATAGGAACGTCTTAATGACTTCTGCAGCTCAACTTTATTCAAACCAAGGGTGGCTTTACCCTTTTACACACAGCACTTAGGTATACGGCTTGGTGCAAGTGGTGTTTTGTACCATTACAAGTTGAGTAATTGAGAATATTTTTCACTCATGAGCAGGAAAGTCCAGATCCTCCAAACCAGCTGAGACTGTTTAGTGAAACTGAAGAGCAGTGACTGGTTAGTGGCTTCTAATCCTCTGTTATACTCTCTCTTCAAACAGCATCTAGTACCATTTAATGCTTTTAGCATTAGGAATCACTACAAGACAAAGCACTCCAGCTATTCCTTTACCGTAACACACTTTTTCCTAATACAAGCTTACATGAAAAATAAATCTGAAAACCTGGCTTCTAAGAGTATTGAAAATGTGATTTTCTGCTCTGTTATTCCCATGCTCTCCAAGAACCAGGATCTCTGTGCACACCACTTATGGTAACTGTGCCAAAGAGCAAAAATTCCTGATCTTCCCATTTCAACATATGGATCCACATCTACTGCTGTCTTTGTTCCTCATGTTTTATGTGAGGCTGAGAAAACACTAATAATCTTCATTCACAAAAGTAATTTCTTCATATTGCACCCCTTACCCTTTTGAAGCCTCCCTACAACAAGCGACTCGAGAGTAAGCATCCTTATTTACAAACACCTCCAGCATCACAGTGACACCTATGTAAAAATCAATAAGGGGTCCCAGATATTTCTGCTGCCTTACTCAAATGTCAAGAACTGTCCTACCAATGCACTCATAGATGCAAGAAAAGAGAAGGAAATGAGGAAATAAATGCTCTGTTCAGTGGTCCCCATGCATGTGTATCATCGCATGGTACTTGCCCCAGTAATGCACTGGACGTGTAAAGGTTTTACATTCTGTTCACATTCTCACAGCATTCCCAAGGGCTTCACAAGGGAACAACTATATGTTCTCAACACAGCTTCATAAGAAGAGATGTAAAACCCAATGTACTCAATCTGATCGCTGCTGACATGGCTGCCCAGACACCAAGCAGGGACACTCATTGTAGAGTGGCAGCCAATGCTTTTGTCTTTGCTTCTATCTAACTAACTTTTTAAAGTATATCCTGATTCCAATACTCCAGCTATAAGGAAAATGTTTTTTTGATTGTAGGTGAAGTGGAACATGCTATGCTGGAGTTTAAACTGGTACCTTTCCTTTCATCCAGAAGCACTCATTCAGTTGCTCTCTTCATGGGAAGGATGCAGAGCTGTCTTCTTCATCACCAACTGTTAGACATCAGCACAAATGCCACAGCTTTGCTTACCAGTCTAACCAATAACCACGGTTTTGACTTTTTTATAAGAAGTTTTTCCATCCATATATTTCTTCACATTTACCAGACATCCTTCCTGTATTTTATTTCTAAAATGTGACTTTTATGTGGGATTTCTAGTGCTCCTTTTGTCTGTTAAGAATTGTTATCAGAGAAAATGACCCTAACCCAGCCCTCCTTAGGACGGTCCCTTGGGCTTCCTTGCACCCATGGGCCAGGTATGGCACACAGCAAGGTGAGCCAATGGAAAAGCTCTCCAATGCACCTTACGGACTAAGGAAGAGGTATGGGACTCAGTATGGGATGTTTAGAAGGAACACAGGTGGGGAAGAGGAGTGACCTAGATTGTTTGGGAGGAACAAGCATGGAAAAGATAAGGACAGAGAAATAAAAAGGGGTTGTTGCATGTAGACATGTGGCTGATCAGTATGTTTACTTGGCTATGGCTTGCACCTGATAAGTTCAGTTTATTCCATCTTCTGGTAAACCTCCATTTCTGTTTTCCAGTGTGAATGGATTCTTTCCTACAGGCACGAGAGTGAATGGAGGCCTAACTGCCAGCAGCTAGTTTTGGACCACAAGCAGTAAGGACCCACTGGGAAGTCAGCAACTGAAGAAAGTGTGAGCTTACATTTCAACACGTGATTGCTAGCGAATATCAAGCTGGACTAGCTGCTGACTACAGGAGGCCGTAAGCCAGAGATCAGAGTAGCCATGAGGCTGGACTGGATGCATGCATGTCTGTGAGGGGGACTGCAGGAACAGTTTGTTCGTTTTCAACCCAGGCCATTCTATGATTCTACATGAGTGCATTTGCTACTAGAGGACTTTTATCCTGATCACCCATGGAGGGAATCCAGATAAGGCCTTTGTTGATAACTGGTCTGTGTACATCTATGCAGTTATCCTTGTGTAGAGTCTCTGCCTGTGTCTGTATGTGTTGTACATGTGTGTGTGTGTGCCTATTGAGAATATGTACCAGTCCTGCAAGTGGCAGAACCTGCTAACACAAAGCTGCAGTGGATTTGCCTCTATATGCCTGCTGCATTCAGTGACTCCTGAAGGGTTGTTTCTGGGTCCCGGCTCCTGATCATACCTTGCCCTGCCTCCCCTGCATGGTGTCCTTGCTAGCTCTTGCTGCAGGATTGACTGATCCCATCCTGAGACCCTGCCATACTGTGTGGACTCCATGGTGCTGACCTTTTCTCCAAATCCTGATCTACACTCTGTCTTGTCCCTTTCTGTGTATACAGCATCATCTCTGTGAGTAAATTATAAAGCACTAGTGACCGTTCCTAGGCACTGAACTGCATCACAGTAACTGTAAGGTCGTAAGAACAGTCCTTGTCAGGCCTTGGGGCTATGCCAACAAACACTCCTAAACAGTTCAAAGGCATAATGTGGGATGTAGATCAAGTTAGGGTTTGCGTGCACTCATCCTTTTTTGGAAGCTGAGTGAACTAACAGGCATAAATAAATAAGGCCCATCCTGTGTCTGCTAATCTCAGTGCCAGAGATTCAGCCTGAGCGCATTTAATTTACTGAGTTCTCAGGGTAGAACCCTTCATTGGGTCCTGTACCCTTCACTTGGTCACTGAGCATGATCTCCCTGCACTGAAAAGTCCTTGGCTTCTCCCATCTTTCACATCAGCCTGCCCAGACCATTGCTTCCTGCCCAGCTATCCTTTGGATCATGTGTTAGGTCATGCCACCCACCCGTCATACACAGCCTTCAACTACACCTTTGCACATACCCTTTGTTTTTTCTCTCTCCATTGAGTCTTGATTCTCCTGGTCTGGAAGTTCAAGCATTTTTCTATAATCCTTGCACAGTCTCCATAACAAAGCCACGGGCTGATACTAAAGCTGATTGAGTTGACCGATCAAGACTGTTTTAATGCTTCTTTGTGCTCTCCCAATAGATGTCTAAATGCAGCTTATACAGTACCATAACAACACAATGTCCTCCCCAGCTTCTTAAAACAGTCTGAAGATATCACAGACCAAAGCCTCTAGAGCAGCAAGGCAGAAACCTCATGTTGAAAGTGCAGTGTTGGCAAGTCATTTTTACACTCCCAAATGATCCTTTGGGATATTTTCCAGGCAGAATTGTGCATTTCTTCCCACAGGTGCTTTCCCAACTTGAGGTCCAGTGTAAGGGTACAAGGAGCTGAGAGAGGTCACGTCTCTTCAGAAAGCAGAGAATAAGAAAGCAGATAATGAAATAGCAGAGGAAAAGGAGAGTACTAAAAGGATTGAACTCTGCCCCAAAAATAAAGAGCAAGAAGAAATTGGCAAGATGTTGAGATATCTTTTTCATGGAAGTTTAAGATGTTTAATTTGCATGTCTCAGCACCAATAGCATTCAGAGAAGCGAAGTGTCCAGCAGTGGAATGGAAACCTGACCCAGCATTTCTCTTTGTTACTTTATCATGGATGTCAATGATGTTAATCCCCATGAGACTGTCTTTCCCACAAGATGAGTCCCCTAATTGCCTCCTGTGCACCAGCATGTATGGCTGAGCCATGGCAGCATCCTGCCAGGGAGTGCCAATGGTAAGAGATGAGCTGCAACACCTTTTGTTCCCTAATCCTGCCTTCAGAGGCCAGGTTGCAGTGGTCATATTGCAGGTTATACTGCAATACAGAAGGGATGCTGACTCTGCTGGAGATGACATTCTAACCACTTGAATCTCCTTCCTGCCTCCACTGTCTCTGATCAGTCACAATTTTTTTCTCAGAATTTGTAAATGACAATCTAATTCCTCTTGCTACAAATTCAAGACCTTCCTAAGCAGGCAGGGTATTTGCTGGTGGGAGGCAATTAGAGACAACACAGAATAATCACTAACTGGTCATCACGACCCATATTTTACAGTTTTAAGGGATTGAGTTAGTAAATACTCATACAATGGGATTAGTGCATTCAGTAAACACTGAGGAGCAAAGGGAAATTTTGTGCTGGTGGAGCACAACTTATGTTACCAGTGATGGTGCATTTGCTTAACACCAGCATGAAAATCATCCCAAAAAGTTAATTAAGATTAATTTTTGCCCCCCAAAAATGCAATCACTCCTTTCTTATTGATTTAGAAAGCCAAAAGATGAGGGAATAAAGAGCTAGCCTACAGCCAATCCTGAGTAAAGCCTCAGCTACAAAACATGTCGTGAAAAATGAATGTAAGTTGGCTGGGAAATGAGTGCTGTCACAGAGATTGAACGCAGGCTGTGTGTCCATAAACAAAGAGGGATGAAAGATAAATATAAAGAGCTGATGGGAAAGTATCTGGGGCATGGATTGGTTGTGGGGAGGGGAGGGAGAGAGGGCTAGAAATCTGCTCTAAGTCTGGTTTTATTTAATGTCTATCTACGATCTGGAAGGAAGCAGTAAACACCACATTCATTCAATTTATATTTGATGTAATGACTCGTATGAATTAGAGGGGTGTTGTGTAAACCAATGGGGACAGACACAAAACACAAAGAAACCTAGACAGGCTGGAAATAACAAAGTGAGAGCCAAGTGGATGGGCAAAAGACAACAATCTGCAGGAGGAATCACAGCCTAAAGTGCAGATATGAAGCGGAGAAATGTGCTTAAAGAAGGGAGACAGAAGGTCCTAATAATGGCTGAGTCCAGCAAACTGGCTGTAGCTTGTGGAACAGAGTCATCCCAAAGGAAGACAGAGGGTAAGTATCTGGACCTATTGATTTATGAGGAATTAAGTCAATGAGATGAGTTTGGCTGCATGACAGCTGAGCAAAGAGATCAGAGTGTGCCGAGGCGTTAATGCTGAGACAATCTGCCGGAGGTGAGGAACCACCCCGGGGACTTCTGTCTACTTGGACAGTGTAAACACCACAAAGGAGGAGGAGGACTGATTTACGGTGTGGGGAGGAACGAGGGTCAGAAACAAGGTAAAAGAAATATGGGCTGGTTTAGCAACAGGGTGAGCCGTGTTACCCTGTGAAACAGCTACCTGTGAAAGGGTCTGACATTTCTTCTTTCTGAATCCCTTAAAGCTAGACTGCAGAAAGACACAAGAGAGAACAGGTTTTTGTCTTTAAGGGGATGAACTGAATGAGTATACAGGGTAATGACAGTCAGGGTGACCGTAGTCCAGATTTGTCTACTAATACATTTAATATGTTGTAAAATTCTAAGAAGAGGTGAGCTTTTCCATCCCCTCAACTGCCCACGCAGCATAGTTGTCTGGGAGGCATAAGCTGTAAAACCAGGGTACTGCTACTAAGAACATAAGGATGAGAGAGAGGCCAAGAAGCTGCCAGAAGGTACCACTCAGGAAAAAGTATCAGGGACTTTGACATGTCACAGCTCAGGGGCTGGAGCATTCACTGGGGACATCAGAGACCTGAGCTCATTCCCCTTTTCACCGTGCTGAATATGAACCCACACCTCACAGCCCTCAGGGGAGTCCTAACCATTCAGCCTAGCAGAAGGAGTGGTGGTTGCCATCCATCCTGTTGATGCTTCTACTCCTTGTATCACCTCAAGGGTTTACTATGTTGCATGATGACGAATGAATATGATATTCTCACCATGCAGTAAGTAGACCACAGGTTTGGCTTGCAGTCCTGAGAAAACACACTTCATCATTCCTCAGAAGTGATTGCTCTAAAGTAGGGTTAGAGTAAGACATTCACGCAGTCTTTTCTCCAGGAGAAGGGAGGAGACATGATAAAACTTCAAGAGAAAAAAAGATAGGGTGGTAGAGCAGACTATTAACTACCAAGCTGGCTGCTCTGCACAGTACAGATTTGTATGGCTCTGGAAGCAGGACCAGAAGCAGATGATTAGGAGGAACTTGGCTGACAGGCATGCAGATGGCTCAGGAATTTAGGCAGTCTGAGGGTGAAGTGAAAAGGGCAAAGGAATTCTGAATTTGGTTATGCGGTAGGTTAATCTGGCACTAATATCTTACAGGATCATTGTTTTAAGGCATTAAACCTCTTATGTACACCACAAGAATGTTCAGAATACGCTGGAAAATTACCCTTCATTTAGATAAGTCCTTCTTCTTGTCCTCAGACAAGAAGCTATAATGCGTTGTAAAATGAGATCTCATGCACTGGGGTGAAGGTAAGGAGAAGAGAAAAATGAAAGAAGAAATGCTTTGAAAATCATGTTTTCAGCTGTGAGACACTGGGGACGGAGTTCCAGCTGTCTGAAGAAGATAAGGACAAAAGTGAAAACGAGGAGCATTTTAATATATCTCTGATGACAGAATCATTAGACTTGGCAACAAGCTATATTTCCTTACTTAGACAAATAAAGTTTTTGAAGAACTACACAAGGATGAACGTAAATATCCAAAAAAAATAACCAATTATGCCTTGCTGCAGGGGGCTGGGAAGGGACCGAACTCCCACTTCTTGGAGCAAGGGAGGAGTCCCACCGTACACACTCGTGAAAGATGTTCAAACATCAAGTAATTCTACTTTGAGTCTACTTATTATACATGAGTAAAACAGCTGCCTTCAAGCTTAATGAACAAATAGCTACCCAGTATCTTCAATTCCCAGGAGGATTTGCTTGTGCTCTCTGAAAACTGCTGCTAGAGTCACCAAACAGGGCAATGGCAACTTCTGGGGGTCATCTAGTCAATCCATGCTCAAAGCGGGACCACTTGCCCAATGTCACGTCCCAGTAGGTTTAAATATCTCCAAGGATGGAGATTCCATAACATCTTTGTGCCAGGACTCAACCACCTTTGTATGCACCAAAGAAGCTTTCTCTCAGTGGAATTTCCCATTTTCCAGTTTGTACTCTGTGCCTCTAGTCCTTTCACTGGGCATCACTGAGAAAAGGCTGTTGCCATCGTTACAGCCCTCTCTCAGATATCTATGCACATTGAAGAGCTTCCTCTTCCAGGCTGAACAGTGCCATCTCTCTCAGTGCATCCCCATACATCAGATACTTGAGTTCTTTAAACACCTCCAAGGTTCTTCACTGGACATGTTCTGCTACCTCAATTGGAGTATGTATTGGAGCCCAGAGCTGAACACAGCCCTCCAGATATGTCCCACGTGCTGCAGAGAAACCTCCCACTCCCCTGGCAAGCAGGATAGGAGCTTTCAGACAGCTACTGGAAAAGACTTCTTAATGGTGAGGAAAGTGAAGCAATGGAAAATTATGCAAGGAGACTATGAAAAGCCTGTCACTTCAACAAGTGCCTGAGAGGAATATATTAGGCCTAGAAGATCCTGATGTCAGGCAGGGGAGTGGATTAAATGAACTTCCAAAGCTTTTGCCATGGTTCTCAACTAATTCACTATATGTAAATTGTGGCATCAGTATTTGAAAAAAAATCCTGTTATTCTAAGAATGGCGCCTAATCATCTGACACAGCGCTGAAAGACAGCTACTTATTTCCAAAGGACATTTTATGCTCTTCTCCTCTGCAGGACCCTGGAGTTCTGCAAACACTGATAATTTATCTTTGCAGGGCTCCTGAAGAAAGGGAGGGAATATGAACTTCCACATTTACTCATGGCAGCTGAGGTGTAAAGAAATAGAAGTCAAAATTATTGAAAGAAACCATAACCACGGTTTCTCATTTCAGATGCTTAAGAATGGTGTTTCATCACTGTGCTTTTTTTCAGGATCTACAGTGTATCTTCAAAGCACATTTCCCATAATAGTGACTTCACCAGGTTCCAGCTGTCAGGGTTTCCAGAAGAGCAATTACCATCTGTGAAAAGTTCTGAGTTAAGTGAGCAGCCCATCATTTCATAGGAATGATGTTCAAGATAATAACAACAAAATCCATAATAGCAACAAAATCCAATAGCAGGACAACACTCAGCTTCCCAAACCACAGTACAATCCTTTCCTATCTTGAAATCCTCACCATCACCCTCCAAATTCCACAGTTTCTGAATGAGGTAACCATGATTCATCCCACAGCAGGTCCATCCTGTGCAGTGAAGAAAAACCACAAAAAAAAACAGACTGTGGTGGTCATACAATTAGAAACTGCATGACAGTGCGCACAGTGGACCTGAATTATGGCAGCTTTAGTTTTGGCTTTCTCTGTCTTGGCTTGACAGTTAAGGTGTTCTTTTCTTATGGGTTTGTTTTTTTACGGTTTCAAACAATTCCTTAGGTTTTTACAAAAGCGAACTGGAAAGATAAATTTCTTGTATGGAACCAGCTGATCCACAGCTGGGTAAACAGCAGAATTGGAACTCTTACATCCTCTGCACATTTCAGCAGATCTATGGAGATCTGCTGGCAGAGTTGCTAATAACAACACATTAAATACTGTCTTCAGATGGCATTTACATTTGCATATCTTCAGATGTGGTTTAAACATTCCAGAAGGAAACAACGGTACATCCTCTTTTCTTGAAAAAAGGTATTCCTCAAGCAGACTTTCAACTCCTTCTGCCACTTCCGCTTCATTCCCTCAGGTTTTGTTATTTTTATAGCATGCTAACTATCCCCTAGTTCTAATAAAGTCACATTGTTAAAAGTGGATCACCTGGCTACATCTGTCTGCACTGAAGCCTGGCACAAATAACCCATGCTGAATAGGAAATTTATTCCTGAAGCTGTGCACAGTTCCTGTGCTGATTTCTGAACCTAATGTAAAACCAAAAGCATAGATTTCAGTTCTGATCTTCCACACATTTTATGTACATACAACTACTCTGAGTCCTGCATAGTTGTTTCCAGATAACTAACACCAGTGAGGACACTAGCAAGTAAAAATAGGTTTATATAAATGCATTTTATCATTTAAATATGGCCGGTTTCTCGTATTAAAAGATCATGCATGATCTAATACTTACATCTACACATGAAGGCTTGGTTAATTTCTTCTTGGCAATGTCTCTTGCCTCAATAAAAGTTATCATAGGAGCACTAATCAAACAATTAGGTTTGAAGTACCTCTGATTGTTTAATAAATTCAGACCTGTATACAAATGAGTCTTCCACTGAACAAGCCTGACGCGTTTCTCTGCAGATGAAAAGAGGCTGAGGCTTGATGTATCGCATTTAGGATGCAGAGGCAAGAATCACAGAATCAATCATCCAAAATAAATGATATTGTTATTAATAACACTCTGAAGCCATGTGAAAGAAGACAAGATGAAAGCATGTGTTTAAACATGTGTTATCCCAAATGTGTTTGGGATATTTTACATACAGTTCACTGTCCACTGATACACACACATTGGTGTGTATCTAGGCTAGCTAGCAGTTACAAAAGCACAGCAAAGCACTACACTGGGAATCCAGAACATATAAGAGAAAGAAAGAGCATATTTTTGCCATGATCAGTGCTACTTACAACTCCAGTGATTTACAGCATAAGGAACATTAGGCTTTTACACATTCTTTCTTTCTAATAACTGGGCAAAATCCTCAAATGACACAACTCTGAAGGAGATCTTTGAGCCATGTTGAGGACTCATGTATCCCATGAAACAGCAATGGCAGGCAAGCGGGCTAAAATGTGATCTCTTTAATAAGATTCAGTGATATGGCAGGAACACCAACCCTTGACCAGCACATCCGGTTAGTACTTGAATCACACCTACTTGCTCTTATGCCCTCATATGATAGCCATGCTATATATCAGTGTGCACCTGTTCGTAACTACACACACTCCAGTTTTGTTGCTCCACTAATGATGCTTGATCTGTAATTTATACCCATTGTTTGCTCAACAAAAGAACATAACGTGCCTAAGAGTCAAGAGGGCTAACATCTACCTGATATGCTGAAATGATCAGCACACTACCATCTGCATTAATGTGTACTTGAGATTTTATAATTGAATTTCACAGAATCACATACTGGCTGAGGCTGGCAGGCACCTCTGGCAGGCACCTCTGCCCAAAGCAGGGTCAGGTCGCCCAGGAGCATGGTCCAGTTTTGAGTATTTGCAAGGATGGATACTCAGAGCCTCTGCAGGCAGCCTGCAGTGATCAATCCATCTTTCTTTGTAAAGATGATTTCTTTTTTTGTTTTCTTCAGTCTTAATGGAATTTCCTGTATTTCACTTTGCCCATTGTCATGTCTGGTTCAACCATCTTCACCCAATTTATGCACATAGCTGAGATCCTCCTGAGTCTGCTCTCCCCCTGGCTGAGCAGCCCCTGCTCTCTCAACCACTGTTCCCATGTCAGATGCTGCAGTCCACTGAACATCTCAATGGCACTTCACTGGACTGGTTTCAGTAATGCCCATGTCTCTTGTACTGCAGAGCCCAGTTCTGCTTGTCTGTTTCCCCTTGGAAGACATTGCTGTGCTATTCTATTTTGCACCATCCTATTCCATATTCTCATTCTGCATCCATTCATACACAGAATGAATACTTTCCACTTTGGGAAACAGTTAGCCTCGTTCACCTGTTTACTCTTTAATTCTTTCACAGGTAGAGATTTGGATGTCCTTCTGAAAATCACCAGATGACATATATTCCCTTGGAAAAGAGGAGAACAAAGCAACATACCCGCATTGAAGGTAGGCCTTCCAGCTACTTCTAGTTGATCTGAAGTTAGTGGTCACAGCAGAGGGGTCACATACATTTATTTCACTATAGAATGGCAACTACAGGACAGTTGGGAATGCATATACGCTATCAACATACACAGTGTATTAACATACACTGAAGTCTTGCCTGGTCTTATGCTTTCATCATTCAAAAGAGCCAGCTATTGTGAAAAGGCCTTCCTGCTGGATAATCCCATGTTCATTTGGCAATGTAGGCAAGCCCTTCATGTCTTATTCCTTCTTCTGACCTGTGCTTCAGGGCCAACCTCCAGGAAAATCCTGTGTCCTGCACAGAGAAGCCTCACCACTCTTGTCCCTCCATCTTTCCAAGGTTGCGTCTCTGATATAAATCTACCCAGATTAACACAGGAATTTAGTGAGAAGAATTGGATATGTAGATAAGAGAAATTTTCCTGGCTTTGTTATTTGCCTACGCTGCAATAAGAATACCTATCTAGAAAGCGTTTTCTGTTACTAAAGGCATCGTTGAGGAATGTTTAATTCTTAGCAGAACTTGTTCTACACAAACTGGATGATATAAATAAATAAACCATGAAATGTTCAGAGAAGACAAATCACCAGTCCATCAAAATGCCTGATAAGTTAGTTCAACAGAATGGACTACGGGCATGTTCAATGAATCATCATCACCAAGAGTAAATAAATTCAGATTAAGTAAAACTTGATTGAATCATGTTGAAGTCTGGCACTTAACAAAACAGATCAGTCCGAAGTCTCGCATTAGGAACACATAATCTCTTAAGATTTATGAGTGTTGTTGTACACCACATATGTTTCTAGGTTACTGTTTGCTGTGTTGAGAACTGGATGCTCTCAGTGTGCAATGATTTGCTTGCTTTTACGTATTTTAAGCTCCAAGAAACCATTCTTCTTGCTCCCCTCTTTGGGGTACAGAATAAACTTCTACAGTAGTAGACTTCCTGCTTTCTTCCTCTCCTCTAGACAAATTCCCAGTTTCTCAGAGGCAGTTTTTGGTTCCATCTGATTATTCAGAGCTGTTTGCTGACACATCTGTAACATGTTGTGAAATAGCCAGAACATAAATGGACTGCAAGCTGAACTCAGTCACTTGGGTTCAGTCATTGGAAAGAATCCTCAGCTTTTTAAATTTGGTAACACAATCTTCACACACTGGCCATACTATTAATCTCTATTGGTAGCCGTGTAATAGGAACAACATATGTCCATGGAAATCTTTTAAATAACAAATCAAGACAAGAAGTAACTTGCCCTTTTTTTTTTTAATAAATAGTTACTTTCGTTCAGCATTTATATTGTGGCAATGTCCAGAGGACGCAATCAAGTTGGAAATCCAGATGTGCTGACTGCTGTAGAGATGGGGCAAATATAAAATTTGAAGCAATTTAAAAAAAAAAAACAAATTAAAAATTATAACCATTTGCAAATCTGATGTCAAAAGTTCTCATTTAGTATAATAGCACACAAACCCCAAATATCTTTGTATGTAAGGTTTTTATTGTGCTACAAATATTGTCTGAGAATAGAGTTACTATTATCAGTCTTATTATACCAAGCAACGTAATATGCAGTTCAAGTACCAGACTAACACTGTGGGGGACAGGACTCACTTTTCAGCCTGGAATAGAAATCATATTTTACAGAATGCTTGAAAGAACCAACTAGGATTTACAGTGAGCGTTACGGGTTGTGGGTTGACATTGTCAGAAGCTGATATTTATAACCTGAGTGTCATCACATAGGCAACAAAGTCTCACGTCTTTATTCAAGCAGCAGTGCGCCTATTTGTCTGGAAATACTGATCCTTCTCCATACTCTCAAACCACATCTAGCTGAAGGACATTATCTATTCAGTATTTAAAGGGGAACTATAAGAAAGAAGGGAACAGTCTCTTTAGCAGAGAGTTGTGGTAGGACAAGGATAAATGGTTTTAAACTAGAAGAGGGGAGATTTAGATTAGATGTAAGAAGGAAGTTTTTTACCGTTAGATGGTGTGGCACTGGAACAGATTGCCCAGAGAGGTTGTGATGCCCCACCCCTGGAGATATTCAGCACCAGGCTGGATGGGGCTCTGAGCAACCTGCTGTAGCTGTAGGTGTCCCTGTTCATCAAGGGGAGTTAGACCAGGTGGCCTTTAAATGTTCCTTCCAACTCAAACAATTCTATGATTCTATAATCCTATGGTTCCATGAAGTGACAGGGGGCCCAAAGCTCTGTCCCAAGAGGACACAGTTAGAATATAACATGCTGAATTTTAAGTATGTTCAGTAAGAGTCAAAAAGTGCACTCATTATAAGTAGTTTTACTGCTATAGAAACAAACAAAAATTCAGGAAAGATTAAGTTTGAACCAAAGTCTTGTCCAAAAGGTTAAGAAATACTGCGTACAATAAACAGTGCATATATACACACATATATACATAGATGCATACACACTAATGCTATTTCTTACATCATGACTCCACTCTAAAATAAGCTGAGTTTCTTGTGAAACACAGAAGTTATACTCCCTGAAGGAAACTTGCCCCTCAGTTAGCCTTTAAATCAACTCCCAGCAATACTGAGAATGGAGAGCAGAATCTCACTGCTGCTCTCCCTGCTGCCATGCCTTGGCTGGCTGAGGTAATCTCAACACACATTTTGTTCAAGGAACAGCAGAGGAACAATCTGCAAACATGAATCTGTGTCAAATTCTGTCTGGAAAATATGGCATAAGGTGGGATGTCCCAAAGCAAACGTGGCCACTGCGTGCACTTGGCAGGGGACATAGGGAAAAGTGGGTGGAAGAACAAGGGACAGTGGAGCAAACTGCAAGGAAAGATGAACCCTTGTAAGGGTGGAACAAGGACTGCTGCATCTCAGACAGCTCTTATTTCCAGGCACAGCAGCAATACATCTGCTGTACTTGTGGCAGATTGTGTGAGTCACAAATAGGATTTCACAGTCAGCAGCAAACTTGTGAGCCATAAAACCCACTCCCTTCAATTACAAAGTGATCACCTCACAGAGATGCTGTAAGGCTTGATCAACTGATATTTATAGAGCACTTTGAGATCCTTGGATGAAAGTCACTATAAAAAGCTACAGATTTTTCATAGCGTTCATAGGCCACCTGCTCAGACCAGAAGCATTCACTTTTAGCATCACTTGAGCCAGCTACCAATCTGATATCTCCACGGGAATTTCCTAAAACAGATGTGGCTGTCACATTTAATCTCTCTCTTACTAGGAACTCTGAGAAAAAGAACTCCTGGAAAAGGAAATAAAACAAATTGCATTAAAACTGATGGCGAGAAGAAGCCCCGTAATTCTGTTCCCACAACTCATGGATTCTCCATCTGTACCTTTCAGAAAGCTGCCATAGTGACTAACTCCACTGGCTTCACAAATTAGACCTGACCTAGATTCGCTGAAATCTTTGTTCAGCAGCTGGTTAGTGTAATATCCTGACTGCAGCAAAGTTCAGAATTGTTCTACAAAGCAGTGGGTTGAAAAGAAAAACAAACAAAATGGAATGCATGTTCCCTGTGCTCACAACACGCTGGCCAGCACTCCTCTTTATACCCAGTGAATGTCAGAGAGTGGAATGATGAGGTTTAAATGGCTGCCATGTTCTCATGGATCCGTAGTATGCTCTTGAAAAAAGATGACTGTATTATTTCAGCTCTCAGTCTTTATTAACTAAAGAACAAACCCCAGGAGACTGAGGAAAGGCATGATTCTGAAGACCAGAATTGGTTCTAATTAAGCATGTCGTTAAACGCTTTGCAGAATTAAGATTAAAAAATGTGAAGTTTAAAATCCTGTTAGCTAAGGATAGAACAGTTCACGGTCTTTTTTATGAACTGATCTGAACCATATGAAACTCTTCAGAGCATGGATCAGGACTGGCATCCCTTCAGAATAAGGTTTCCCGTGATGTTTTGGACTTTCTACGTTGTGTGTAGAAACTGAGCACAGATGTCCTAACGTGTTTCAGAGACTGAAAGCCTTTTGTTCCATGATAACAGTGGGAAACATCAATTAGAATCTTGTTTAGTGATCTGGTTTGGTGCGTTTTGAGGGATGATTTCTTTTTCTTTTTGAGTTGGCTTGTTCCTATTTCAAATACAATCCAAAAAATACCAAAGTGAATTCAAAGGAAATGTCCTCTTGATCCTTCATCCACCAGTGAGAGATTCCTTAACAACCAGAATGTGTTTGGAAAGATGTCAGAATGCGCAAACTCCCAATCACATCCTCAGTCGGTCACGTCAGACCTCTGAGATAAATTACAGCCCAGGCTGCATTGGAGATACCTTTCAGGAAGGGCACTGTTGCTGCTCAGAGATGAGCTGTTGCTGCAAACAGCTCATTATCATTATTGAAGGGGTGGAGGATGCTGTCCCAAAATAGTGACATAAGCATTAAGCACGCTATGGAAAAGTTCTTAAATTCCATTTGCTGTGTGGGCAGTTATTACAGAATAGAAATTTAAAGTTGATTATCTGTTTTCCACTGAGCAGAATTTTCTTTTTTTTTTTTTTTTCCAAAAAAATATCTGTACAAATCACAGTAAGGCTCTGTGAGGCAGAAATTTTTTCTCTTTGTGTTTTTAGTTTATCTCTAAAAGAGGAGAAACTGCTAAAGGCAATTCTCCATTAGAGAAACATATCCTGTTGGATGAGTGTAATGGTTACTTATAGCCTAATCAGTGCCCTTCCAGACTATGTGCTACAAGCAGTCCAAGGAGAAAGATCTGTCCTAAATTGCCAGATGGCAAATTTTGCACATGATGATCTATGAGGCAATGTTACTTGGTCCAAGAGACACAAACTGGAAGAGAGTTCTCACCTGTCCTGGGGAACTGCAGGAAACTGTGATTGCTGTGATAAGCCCTTCACTCCTTTCCTCTGGCAATACCAGGCAGTGTGGATGCAACTGAGCTGAGATCCTTTCATGCAGCTACTCCCTCAGCCACACAGGGACCC